ACATGATGTAATCTATGCAGAAATAGAAGTACAATGATGTACACCTGAAATTTTTACAATGTTATAAACCAATGTTACTGCAATAAACAAAAAACAAAACAAAAAAAGAACGAGAAAAATATAAACTTTCAAACCAAAAATAAAAATTTTTTAAATACAAGGGTACAAATGTCGTAAAGCCGAGGTTCCTGTGCTTTTAAATTCCGCTTTTGAAATAGTAAAACATGGCTTCCTTTCAAATTGGCACCTTATAGCTACAAGCTTTTGAATGACCATTTAAAGTAAAAAGCTAAAGTATTGACATAAGGTGGGTGTTTAGAAGAAGTGTGCTGTACAAGTGGTATAATCCCGGTACCCCCGAGTGCCCTCACTTAAAGCTTTTTCAGAAGTATTCCTGCTTTCCCAGCCTTGGATTCTATTTCTAAATCTAAGATTACTTGTTTTTATTTTATGGTATCTTTAAACATTTAAATGAAGGTTAACACATTTACCTTTTGTGGTAAAGATAAAAGGATAAATTATATTCATAGGTAATTTTAGACTCAATTTTTAGTATTACCCACTCAGAATTTCCATAGAAATGTTAATAGAAATTTCTAGATCAAATATTTAGAAATGTTCTCTTCTCATCCTTTGACTTAAATACCAATGAGTATTAAGTTTCTTCAATTTAAAACAGCAGGATGAAGAAGTGTCAGAATCAACAAAGTTCATAAGCAGTTTTCAAACCGTGTTGGCCAGGGTGTGGGTTGTGTTTGCTGCTGTCATTCTCGCCTGTGGAGCACGGTACTCACCCTCCAGGAAACCCACCAGCCAGCAGGGAGAATTGGGAGGCGGCTACTTGCTACAGGAATAAATGATGATAGTCAACTCTGATACTGACGTAGTGGCTTTTTTTACTGTCAGGAGAAATCAAGATTCTCCCCTAGTTTTGGGAGAGGAGAGTTATGTTTATAATAACAGCAACGACAATACGCACTAGCTCCCATCTCTGTATCCTTCCCATATGTGATGTACTCTGCTAAGATCCTTAGTCAACTCAATTAGGTGTGTGATAGTATTTTACATTTGAGGAACCTGAGGCTCAGAGAGGTTATGTATTTTGCCCAAGGTCACATAATTAATAAAAGACAGAGCTGGGAGTCAAACCAACTCCAACTCCGAAAGCAAAGGCTATGCTCCTAAACATTATACTACGTTTCCTTCCTTGATGAATTTCTTAAAAAGTAGAACAGATAATTTCTGATTGTTCTTATAGGTCTCAGTATCTGAAGACATATCTTAGGAGAAGAGTATGAAAAAGTTGGGAAGGAGGAAAGAACTGTTTGCTATGGGTAGTAGTCCCTACTACGAATTTGCGACATGGATTTCTTTGTCAGTTAACCTTTCTGAATCTTGATTTCCTTATTAATAAGGATAAGATGATTTCTGAGATCCCTTGTAGCTCTACTGCTATAATATTTGATCAGTATTTTTTCTTTTTCTTAAAAACTCTCCCTGTCAAAGAATATTTTGAAAAGATTGCCTAACAAGAATGATTTCTTTTTCAATTGGGAAAAGTTAGAAAATAATCACAGGCTAAATAAAAATAGAACTACCATTTATTGATGCCTGCTCTCTAGGCACTGCTCTAAGTTATTTACATGTATCATCTGTTAATGATCGTAAAAAACCTATGAGGTGGAAGAGGGAAGTGAAGCTCAGAGTGGTGGTATTTCACACGTGGTGGTATTTCCCAGGCCTCAAGGCTGGTGTGTTGGCACTGTGATCTGCGTTCAGACAGCATAGCTTCCAAGTCTGTGCTCTGAGCCACCAGCTTACAGCTGCCTCTCTAATAGAATGTCCGGTTTGTCATTTACTTGAAAAAATTTGTTTATCTTACATAACACAGTATAGAATGCATAGAAAAGATGGGTTTTTTCCCTAAAAAATGATCATAGTAGTATATCTGTCTGACATAAAGGTTTCAGAAACATTGTTCAGCTAGATATTTCTTGATCAACTTTATACAAAGAACTGAATTTGGCATCTTAGGGAAAACGAAGAAGGGTAATGGAGGGAAACCATTTATTTTCTTGTCCTTTAAGAAAATCCAGCATTGCAGGAATTTTACTTCAGCCTATGTGGTTTATTAAGACACATCTTAAAAACAATAACAGATTTTGTATGTTATTTCAATTTGGATGTTTTCAGTAATAATGTAGCTTTGTTGGATATAAAGAGATGACTAAACTGTGCTTTGTTTTGTAGTAATGAAATAGTTGTCATTTTTTGAGTTAAAATTCATTTTTTTTTTTTGTGAGGAAGATCAGCCCTGAGCTAACATCTGCCAATTCTCTTCTTTTTTTTTTTTTTTTTGCCGAGGAAGACTGGCCCTGGGCTAACATCCATGCCCATCTTCCTCTACTTTATATGGGACGCTGCCACAGCATGGCTTGACAAGTGGTCCGTCGATGCGTGCCTGGGATCTGAACCAGTGAACCCCGGGCCGCCAAAGCAGAGCACGTGCACTTAACTGCTTGCACCACTAGGCCGGCCCCTAAAATTCATTTTTTTAATAAAGCAGAAATAAGCTATTGTTTTTGAAAGTTTCAGGAAAATATTTTTATTAAGCAAGGACTCTGAATATTAGAGAAAACATGCTCCATTTTTTATTGCAAAGAAAATGAAGTATTTAAAATTCACTTTTAGGTTGTTATGAATTTAAAAGAGTGTTTCTTTGTAGCAGCCAATCCCTTTCGGGGGATACACCCCCTTTGGAGTGTGGCCCTATCAGAATAGAAGGGAGCCCCTGTTAGCTTGAAAAAGCCCCCAAAGTGATTCAGACTTTTTCCTCTCCCCACCCGAGCTCTCTGTTGAAAATCACTGGTTTAGAAAGAAAAAGTTTCACAGCTCCTTTCTCCAAAGCCATCCAGGTATGATATATATAGCACCTTCTTAAAGAGAAAAAAAGGAAGGCAATTGAAGAAGAAGAGGAAAAGAAAAATTACCAGGAACAGAAGAAGAATTCGAGTTACACAAATGGAACATTGGCCAATAGAAGTGGTATAATGGTAAAAGGCAGAGAGCTCAATTAGTTGTTAGCCTTTAAAATCCCTTATATTTGAGGTGGAACAGGAGCATTAGTTGAAAGATTTGCTCACTACTGTCAGTCTGCTCTCTGTAGGTTTTGTCTTTCCAATTAGGATTGAGACAATGTCTTACTCTTCTTTGTGGTCTTCACAACACCTACTATAATAATGTTGGACACATAAAAGTTACTTAAAAAAATTTTTTTTATTGAACCCTAGTTAGACCTAAGGTGGGTTTTCTTTCCTTAGTGTCCACTCAGTTTTGTTTGGTATGAAAGGGGATGATGTTGCTTATTTCTTACCACAACACAGTAGATAAGTCTGAATTCTGGGCTTTGAAGCACCCACTTCAGAGAAGACTGCCACTAAATTATAATTGCTACAAACAATGGTTCTTCAATGAAACGGGCCTCTGAGGTGGTACTGATGCCTTCATTTCCACGTTTGTACTCCAGGTGTGTGCAGAATCTGAAAGGCGGCTCTAATAAGCCAGGGGGCAAGCAGTGACTTCTCTCCCTAACTCTGAAACTTAGAGGCAGAGTAGGAAGTGAACATAGATAGCATTTAATAGTAACATCATAGTAAGCACTTTTAATGCCTTTAAAGATTATTAAAAAACAATATCAAAGTCAGATGTTCAGTTTTGGTTTATTTGTAGATTATCAATATGTAAGTAACTTGTATTCGCCCACAATCTTACTCTTATAAAACTATATTTTCTTTTAAAACTATTCTTAAGCTTTAATTTTTTTCTTCATTGATCTGTATTGCATTTAATTTTTATTTTTCCTACGGTATAACTACAATAGTTTAACATGAATGTTTGTCACCAGTGAGAATATATTGCTTGGTTTAATGAATGTATGAAGCTTAAAATCACATTCATTTAATTATCTTCAAGTTCCCCTGAAACTTTTGTGAAATAAAGGACTTTTGAGAGATGACTGACTTTTATCTTAGAGAAAATCTGAGAATACTGATTATACCATATTATAAATGTTTTCCAAATCATTCTGCCCTAAGAATTTGTTTGAAACAATGGTTATTGACAGGGATTGACTGACTGTATTTCAGAGCACAGGTTAACAGCGTGCCATCAACAGGGGCGTATGCCTTTGGCCTCGGGGTATCTTGTTGGCCTGAGAACTATCTGTACTGCAGGTTTCTCCCTTCGGTTAACTTTTCTCTGCTTCATAATTCTCTAGCCATAAGAAGAGTTTCTCCCCCAGCCTATTTCATTTGAATATTAAAATTTGGCTTTGGTTTAACAGTGCGGTGCTCCTCTGTGCTCCCGGACAACTGTATTGGTTGTCACATAGATTGTGTTGGGCAGTATGCCCCAGGCCGGCCTGGGGAGAAGGGAAATTCTAAATTTCTTTTTGCAGTGATTAAATCCTTAAGCAAGAGAATCTGTGAAAACTTTTAGCCTTGGAAGAAATGGCCCGAGTTTCTTTTATTTAATACAAATTTCAAATTCTCTCATGATCCTTTGCTTCCCCGTTTCCCTAATCTTTGAGGCATAAAGATAATAATCTATTAGGTAAAGTATTATTCTGTTGACGGTCATTAAAATTCAGCTGTTTAACTTCCTTCTTTCTATTAAGGCCGCTAGATCAGGCTTCTATTTGCCTGGTTTTATGAGAGTAGCTGTGGGAGTGCATTTGGTTTGTGTTCCTTTTAGTGACTAGGAAGGAGTCTTGATTATGTCTATGCTTAACTGATTTTCTTGTGGAAAAATTGTTTTAACTCTAGTTTCTTCACCAGGTGAAATGGATCGGACACAAATTGAGCCCAATCTGTACCTCACATCTGTATTTACAGGTAAGACTTTTACTTTAAAAGTTGTTGAACTTGGAGCTATTCAGACTTTTTATTTCCTATGACTTCTTTCTCGTAATAATCAGCACAGTAGAGATAGTAATTCCAATTTTTTATTCTTCTAAAATATCTGTAAACTCACACCAGCTATAGAACTCACTTTGTGCACTAAACTCAACTCGCCAGAAGTTAGGGGACAGAAAAAAAAATCTATGATTTCCCTTTGGAAAGTTTATAAAATGTTGAATTAAAAGGCTGCAGGTGTGGTATTCAGAGCACCGAGGATAGAACTCAAGATAATTCCATCTGGGGGAGGTTATTTGCTGGGGCAGGACAGTGTTTAAACTTTGAAGTCAGTTTTAAACAAAGTGAAGCAGCTGGAACCTGGCATAAGAAGAAACAAATCTTTCACATTAGCTATTGGTTTTTAGAGGAAAAAAGAATTGGAGTTGTTTTTACAGGTGCTGATACATTTATTCTTTCTATAGGAACTGCTTCATTTTTGTCTTAAATTATAAATTTTAAAATAAGCATTTGTCAACTCACTTAAAAACAGAAGCAATAGTAAACAAAAAATGTAATAGGATTTTTATGTCTAAAACATATTTTGGGATAAGACTAGTAACATTTTAAGTCACTCTTTTAAATATGAAAGTAAGGAAAGAAAGGTTTAATAGTGACTAATTCTGGGAAGCAGAGGCAAATAAAATATTACATATTATACTTAACATCAAATGACCAAGCACCTTCTTCATCAAGACTTGTCATATTTGTTCCCAAGCCCTGAAGCTATGATATTGCAAAATCTGCAGGGCTGGGTTAAGTATGTGAAGAGAACTGAGTACAGCAGAAGAGTTTCGCAGCTGCTTAAACAAGGAATTAAAGCTAGAGTAGATAAGCCCAGGGTGGACAGGAAGAATGCTTCAAGAACTCAGTAAAACACAGCTGAAATCCTGTAACATTTTCATAGACAGCTGCGAAGCAACTGCATTGCTGGAACTCAGGGCTGATTTTAAAGACAAGGATCTGGTCAGCGTGAATCTAAGCAAGCTGTTAGCCCTGAGGACCCACAGACTCTCCAGGTAGAAACAAATCAGTTGGGTTCAGCAATCATTTCAAGGCCTGCTGTGTGTCTAGCATTATGCTACAACTTTGTAGAATGCAAGGGTAGATAAGACAAAGTTGCTGTCCTCGTGGAGCATGTATTGAAAAGGAACAACAGACCCACAAGCAAATAACGCCAATACAAGATGGTAAGGTCACAGATACTTATTGTGTACCTACTGTACTAGTCACACAGAAGACAAAGACCATACATCCTAGTCCATGCTCTTAAGGAATTTACTGTCCAGTGGAAGTGACAGACACAAAACAGATAATTACAGTGAGCTTGGTGAATGCTGCAGTAGAGTTGCCTTCGGAGAATAAGGCATCCACAGTTCACAGGAGAGGAGCCCTCCTGTATTCCACCTCTCCTGCTGGAAGAACAACTCAGAGGATGGGATTCACTTGCACATGGGACTGGGATATCCTTTAAGTCAATGGTTCTTAAATATTTGGGGGCCACAGACTCCTTAAAGCACTGAGAGCTATGACTACGTCTCCCTCCCAAACTGTACTTACGGGAAAATAATTTGCTTAACGTTTCAGGGTATTCACAGATCCCTGGTCACACATCCATGGACTCTGGATAAGATCCTTCATGTGCTTGGATTAAAGATTGTTACATTTGTTTCCTTTTAATTTTATTTTAAATGTGCAGTTTATAAGAAACCAGTCTTTATCTGCATGTAGAAAAACCCAAATCCAGGCAATTTAAAGTCGTTGTACTATCTGTTCATCATCTCATAGAAGAAGACCACAAATTCATCTATATGGCTTGGGCCACGTGCAGTTACTTAACCTGCATGAGGCGTCTGAGATGCTGTACTCTTCTGTGAAGCTACCCAGGAAGCTTTCTTCTTTTCTCTGTTTGTCTCATGTTGTTCTAGGAGAGAATGTTTGGATTCCTCTCAGTTTGCAAATAAGTTATATAATAATGGGTTACCAAGTGTTTGAGGATTAGAGTCAGAATCTAAAACCTGCTTATGAAATGGATTATCTAAACCTAAAAAAATTTTAGTTATGTATATTTTGGAAAATATACATATAATATATAGGCAAAATCTTAAATGGATATTAAAAATCCCATATTATTACTTGTATTACTTAGAATAAATTAGTTTTAGCTTTTCTGTTCCTTAATCTTATAAATCCAACATCAAAGAACTGAAAACAAATATTTTTAATGAATTTTAAATATTTTTAAAGCAAAAAAAATTTGAATTTCGAATGTCTAAAAAAATATATTAGAATACGTCTTAGGAGCCTTCAAATGCATGGTCCCACTGGATGGCATCCCCGGCTTAAATGCATGCCAGATTAAATGACTCACAGCAAACCCGTGGAATCAAGGAATAGTCTCTTTTTTTAAACAAACTGGAAAACAGCCGTTGAAACAATTACATCATAGAGTAATGACATGATTGTGGAAATTAAAAAAGTCAAACTTGAAAAGCATCAAACTACATTTAATAGAGGTAGAAAATTTATGTTTACTTTAATGATGATTTATTAAGATATATCTTTTCTTTAAAAAAAATTAAGCTCTGTGAGGACCATAACTGGATATGAATGTTACTCTTTTGCCTATTAACAGTAATCAAAGGGATGCTTTTTTTTAATGTTCCCAGTCTAAAAAGTTCTCTTTTAAAGTTCTAACACTGTGACTGTTTTAGCTCGTATAAATGAACACTTCAAAAAGTCTTCTTCCCAAAATGTACTTAACAAACACCTTTAGATGAGATGGGGCATTTTATCGACATAACTCGTTGATTAAAACACAATTACTAGAGTTAAAAGTAGCATAATTATTTGGAGGCCTTCTAGGGCTGTGGGTTTTTTCCTTAGTGCATTTCAGTGAAACATTCTTATCCCCCTCTCTAAAGTCATGCCTTCGGCAGCCCACCCTGAGGATCGTGGCCTCTTGGGATAGTGCCTTTCCAGTTACATAAAAGTAAGAGCTAACTTGTGTTGAGTGCTTTCTGCGTGCCTGTACTGTACAGAACACTTGATATGCATTATCTCATTTAATCCTCACAAAACCCTCTGAGGTAGGTTCTCTTATCTTTATTTTATAGATGAGGAAACTAGGATTTAGAGAAGTTGCATAACTTTCCCCAAATCTCTTCTCACTCACTATCCCTCTTAGCCCTTACCTCCTTTTCTTTATAGCGCTTACCACCTCCTGACATATTATATGTTTATTTCCTTACTTGTTTGTCATTTACCCCCTACACCCAACTGGAATGTGATGTCAGTGAGATTGGAGCCTTTGTTTTCTTCTCTGCTGAAATCTGCAGAGTCTAGAACTGTGCCTGGCACAGAGTAGGTGTTCAGTTGATACTTGTTGAGTGAATAGATGGATGAGCCCAGCTCTGCCCTATTCCAGAATCCATGCTGTTATCCCCCCTATACCCCCACCCTGCCCTATACTCCCTCCCACACAGAAGCCTCCCCCTGACAGTCTGGATGGGACCATTCTCAAGTGACTGGACAGTAAACCTCATTTGGACCCTAGACTTGACCTATTGTAAAGGAACTTGTACTTGAAGCTTCATTGCTCCTCTCCTTAGCCGCTCCTACCGTTACATACCATTACTTAAATGGAATTTCTCTCAACCACCTTTAAAAGTAATAACTCTTTATTGTGGATAGTTAAGGTATTTGGTATAGGGCAAAGAGCAGTGAGTTGTGGTCTCAGCTCTACCAGTTATGAATTAGACGAATTAGGCTAGACTCTTTTTTGAAAACCATCTCTTACCTTGTGTGACTCTTCACTCTTGGGTCTCTTCTTACTTATCTCTCTGGCACTTCCCTTTGTTTTCCTTTATTTTGTCTTTGTTCACCTTTTTTTGTCCTTCCCTTCACCTTTCTTTATCATCATTTCTCTTCTCAGTCTATTTTCTCTCGCTAGGTGATCACTGTTCTCATTGCTCTCATTATTATATCTGTGTAGATTACTGGTAATTCTGTATCTCTAAAACTGCCTTGCAGTCTTTGACATCTTTGACTCCAGTTGCCTACTGGAAAAGTCCATTCACGCATCTTGCAGGCATTCAAATTCATCAAGTATATAACTGATCCCAGTATCACCTCATCTCCCTATACCACCATAGCCTCAAGCTTGTTTGTGTTCTTATTACTGCCTACTCAGTCAACTAAACCTGCCATTTCAGAGCCATACTCGATTCTTTATAAGACTGAGTCTTCCTCCAAAATATCTTGAACCTATTTTGTGTGCCAAGGATCATCATTTCTTGCACGGACTGTTTCCGTAGATCCCTCTTCTCTCTCCTTATTTCCCACATGGCTATTAGAATTCTCTTTTATAAAATGCATTTGCTCACATTACTCCTCTGTTCAGAATCTTTTGTGACTCATCATTGTTTACAGAACTTGACCCTGACCTTCCTTTAGGGCATTGTCTCTCTCATCATTCCTCTTAGGCAATCAATACTTTGATATCAGAAGACTCAGAATTCCCTTAACATACTAACTTTATCTTGACTTTATTTTGTTGTTGTCTTCATTGCCTTCCACATATTTTAAGTCCAAGCTCAACTGCTACTTCTGCCTCATTTGAACTAAGTATTCCTGTACATGTTTATCTCCCTAAGTTTTGAGCTTCTTGAAGATGAGGACTGTTTTCTTTCATCTGTGTATCCTCTCAGTGCCATCTTAGCTCCATACAGGCAGTAGGCTTGTATCGATGTTTAGTTAGTAAGCATATGCTTCTAGAAGAGCCCACTTTAATGTCTCTGTGCCTCAGTTACCTTCTCTGTCTCTCAAAATTACTATTAGGATGAGATAAGATCGTGGGGAAAGATCTTTGCAAAATTTTAATTGCTGCACGAATATAAGACAATAACTATAAGAAATAGCATAACTTTACAGTAATTGAATTTACTATGTTCCTTGAGACTTGGAAACCTCTTCAAGATCCAAAAAGAAAGTTATAGCGCTTGTTACATCATTGAGCAATTTGATCAGTAACTTAATGCACATAGTAGAAAATGAAGGTACCTATAAAGCAGTTTTGTGAAATTAGCAGAGAAAAGAAGAATATCTGGTATCAGCGTAGTTTTTGACAATATGTGAGTAACTCAAGGAATGGATTTTTCTTAATAATCGGGGGAAGGTAACATTGAATTGATTTTATGGGTTGAAAATTAATTTTGCTCTCAGCCTTAGTTATGCCCTGCGTTAGTTTTTATTGACAAGCTCAGCTCTGATTTTGAATACTTCTCTTGGTTATTTTGTGTACTTGGCATCGTGGCTTTGTAAAATGTCAGAATATTTAAATAATGCTTATGTCTTATAAGGATTTTTTTAAAAAAGCAGTTCTTATTGTTTCTTAATTTTAGTTTCTATCATATCTTGACAGAGCTAAATTTCAAAAAGTTTTTTCCTATTTAAAATATTTATTCTTAAGACATAAGAATTGCTTTCTTCTTAAAGGATTATAGTGTAGTATTACAGTTTGTGATGTTGCTAAAATGATGCCAAATCTTATTTCCCTTCCCTCTTTTATTAAAAAAAGAAATTGATACAAGTAGCAAAAAGGAATGGTACAAGATTAAAATAGTCTGTTAGACTTCCTAATATGAAAGGAATTTGCCTTTCACAAGTATTCTGATCTTCTTGGACAGCTGTGATTGAGTCATCATTGAAATCTCCAGAACTGTCAGCTTTTACTGTGGTCCCTTATAGGGACTGAATGGAAAATTCCATTCTATTAATGTGGAAACTACTTTAAAAATATAAAGGAGTTTTAGAAAATTACTGTGATTCTTGACTCAGAGATGTCTTTAAGATTGTTTAAGATAATTTGGTTTTAAGATGCTTATTATTATGTATATATAGTAAAACATGAAATTTGAAATGAGGATTTTTGTGATCTTAAATAATACCAAGTTGATGTTCTTTATATTCTTAGGCAATGTGCTTTAAACTTAGAGGAGTGAATTAGAGGACAGGCAGGTAAATAGACTTATATAGTCAACTCTGGGTTTTTTAACCTATTAATGAAGTCTTCATCACAAACTGCCTTCCCTTCTCAGTCTTACCTAGCATTTATCATCTGTCCTACAGCTTTTGGCACTTGTATACTCTCAGTGCATTCAGGCTGCTATAACAAAATGCTGCAGAAATAAACAACAGAAATTTATTTCTCATGGTTCTGGAAGCTGGAAGTCCAAGATCAAGGCATGTCTTCCTGGTTCATAGCCAGCACCTTCTTGCTGTGTCCTCACGTGGTGAAGGGGCTAACAAGCTCTCTGGGGCCTCTTTTATAAGGACACTAATCCCATTCACGAGGGCTCCACCCTCATGACCCTAGCACCCTCCAAAGGCCACACCTCCTAATACCATCACACCAGGCATTAGGATTTCAATATATGAATTTTAGGGGGACAGAAACGTTCAGATAATAGTGTATACTTTTTAAATGTTGTCTCTAATTGTCTAGGGGTAGGAGTAGAAAGGGGGAAGGATGTATTTTATCTTTGTGACAAGTTCTGAGCACCTTGAGAAAAGAAATTACCATGTGTGCAACTCTTATTTTGATCCCTCGTATTACCTAGGAAAGTTCAAAGCCTGTAGATACCCTGGGTCCACTTGTGCAGCTGAATGAGTTTCTCCTTGTTTCAGGCGGTAAAGCAGTACCACTCTTCACTTCTCAGGCGTCACCTGCCAAGATGTCTGTGACGCTGCCCTCAGTGAACCTGGAGGAGAGCTCTCAGTCCCAGAGCGTCAGCACCATCCAGGGGCACATGGAGTCCTCAGGAGCAGATACCTTCTGAATGAGAAGTGAGAGCCAGGACAACATTCGTGCCACTGGTTTTTGAGGTCATTTTTCTCTGGCATAAAACCATCTCTCAGACTATTTTGGTCTTTGAGCATATTCTGAAAAATGATTTCTAATTTTTTATTAAAATGAAAAGCATAATTTAGGTAAAATTTTTAAATAAAATGATTTAAATGCAAATTATCATCAGTCTGTCTGTGTTGTTTCTTAGAATCCTGAGGCAGCATGGGATAGCGGAAAGGGCGTGACTTTTGACATCTAAGAATTTATTCTACAGATATAATTACCTGTACATAGTTATGAGATTATGTTCCTCAGGTTATTCATTCCAAATTTTCTATAACAGCAAATAATTGGAAGCAATCTAATGCCTGTCAGTAAAGGACTGATTAAAAAAGTGATGGTATATCTGTACAATGGAATACGATGTGGTACAAAAAAGAATTTAAAAATGTTTATGTCTTGATATGGAATTGTCTCTGAGATATATTGTTAAGTGAAAAAAGCCATGTGCAAAATAGTGTGTGAATTATGCTACCATTGTTTAAAATGGGGTGGAGAGGAATCCAAATATGTGGTGTATACACACACATATGCTTATGTACATATATTTGCTTAGGTCTGCATTAAATCTCTTTGGAAGGATAAACAAGAAACTGCTAACTTGTTCTGCAGGGAGGGAGTTGAGTGGCAGGTGAGAGAGAGGCTGAGCGATAGGAGTCAAGGATGACTGTAGCTACTGTGTATTTGAATGACAGTTGTGACAGGAAAAAATTATGAGTGAGGTTAATTTTTTATATACCTTATAAACCTTTATACTTTATAGACCTGTGAAACATGTCACCTTTCAAGGCATAAATACATAAAATTAAAAGAAAATAAAAACATGGCTTTGTAATCAGACACATGTAGGTTCTAATTCCAGTTCCTTCACCTACTTGCTCTGTGATAGGGGCAAATAAACCCCCCATCACGCTGCCTGGGTAAAGGGGTTTAATACTTGGTTTGCAGGATAATGGGGATTATCGATCATGTTGGGGTGGTGCCCAGCACAGTGCCTGGCACCAGATAAGTGCTCTATAAATGGTGGGTGTCGTTATCTTGAGGGATGTAAGCCTCTTACACTAGAGGGTGAGCACATGAGAAGAAGGGCAGCTTAGCATTAGCAAAAAAATTTATCTCCCTGAAAAATTTTTTCTGTCACAACTAAAGTTCAAACACACAGTAACTATAGTCAACCTTGACTTTTCTCAGCATTTTTTTAGGTTATTTAGTGAGTCTCAGCCCTGGCTGCACATTAAATGAACCTCTGGGAGCTTTGAAAGCGCCTGGGTTCCATATCTAGGGATTCCAATTTAATTGATCTGGGATGGGTCCCAGGCATTGGTATTAAAAAAGTAAAAAGACCTTCCCAGATGATTTTAACTTGCACTAAAGGTTGAGAATTACTGAAGAGCAATTTAGAATTCCTTGACCTTCAAGGGCCCCTTGCCCAGGGAACTTAGGAAGAGTCTGAGGATTTCTTCTCACTGAAGATAGAAGCTACAAGAGCCTTGGACAGTCAGAGAAGTGTCAGGCTTCCACGCGTGCTTCCTCTTATGTCACAGCTCCTCGAGCTTTTCTCAGGTATTTGGTTACTGAGATGCTTTAGGTTTCACTTGAGAACCTATTTTTCTTTGCTATGGCCTTTCAGATGGGTCTGCTTGTAATAGGTCCCATTAAAAAAGTAGAAGAAAAATGCTGTTCTCTGAGTCATAATTTGTTTTTGATGTTCATTTACAAGTCTCTGGATAGTGTGAAAGCTGGGGAAATGTTTCCAAGCGGTGCTTCATTTTAAACATTGCCCCCATTGGTTTCTGGTTTTCAGAGCTTTTTCTGTTTGGGAAAAATATTTCTTAATTTTAGTGAAAGCTTTTTATTAAAGGTGTTGGTAGGTTTTTTTCCCCTAAACATAAAAAGTCTGCCTTTTCCAATTTTAGGATAGAAGTGTAATCTTTGGTTTGTTCCCTTCCTTGTGCACTTGACCCTGTCAAGATCCAGGCTGTTCCTGTTGTTGGGCTTACATGCCTTAGCACCAGGGTAACAGGTATTTAAAATGTTCCTTTGGTATAAATCCTAAAATAAATTTGCTCTTTGTGCACATTAATAGGATCTTAAATAAATGTTTTTATTTTCAGAAGATGATTATGTCAGTATATTTCTTATCACTTGCATATTTCTGATCTCTTAATAATTTTTCTTTCTAAATACTAAACATATATTTAGATCAGTTTTATGGTTTTTGTATTAAAACTCAGAACACTTTTCTATAAAAAAATAAATAAAATAGCATTTCTTAGTTCATGGTGGATTACCACCCCCAATACAAGAATAATTCTACAGTTGAAACATTTTTAAAAAATTTAGAGGAAAAAACATTTCTTAAAACATCTGTAAAAAAATGCCCTGATGCTATCATTTCCTTATGGATGAGTAACTTGAACAGTAATGGAGAGTAGAATCCTTAGTATTTCTGTGATGTTACTGAGAAGAAACCCACTGAAGTATTCTTTTCTACCATCATCCATATGTGTATCTGTTTATCAAAATTAACTCTGAAGGGCATTGGGCGTACAGTGTGCTGCGGATACCTATGGGTCAGGCTGGGCGGCCATGGCAGGATTTCCCATTCTCCCCCCTTTGATCATCTGCCTCTCCCGGATAATGAAGGTTGACCACAGGGAATTCTGTCTGTTCCTCGTATAGAATCATCATTTGGTCATCAAACATTAGTTGCATAGTAGTTTTAAAGACTCTCTTAAAGATGCATTGGAGAAAAAGAAACAGAATTATTATAGAAATCCCATCATTATAGTTTAGAAAACTTCAGGAAGCCAGTTTTTTATTTGACCTAGTCCATGCCAGGAGAATAGATTCCATGTCTCAGGCCGTCACACCTTTGAGAGTAATCAGCCTGTGTCTGTATTTTTTAAAGGTATTTTTTCTTCATGTACTAAAGTGCTTACCTAGAAACAATAGGAAATATTAGCCAGAATGTAGATGTCCCCCTGTGAAGCCAATAAGCATTGTAAAGCCATGTGATGGTCTAGTAATTACCAAGAGAGCAAGCAAACCAAAGCTCTTTTGCTGGGTCTTTATAGTGTGAATGGTCTCACTTATAATTTCAGCCATAGTGAGGGATAAGTTACTGATATATCTCTTAAATTCAGGGACCCCTAACCAAGGTAAAGACCCTCGAGCAAATCAATAGACTCTTCTAACTTCTCCTGGGAGGTCGCTCTTGTGAGTTCTCTGAAGAGACCCAGATGGTGAGACTGAACAGGATTTAAAAATCTTCAAAGGAGCTGGTAAGGAGTCCTAGGAATACTTCTTGGTATGCATAGAGGTCACAGATAAAGAGCAGGCCTAGTGCTGCACAATTGATATGATCTGTATGTAAAGACTTGAAAGTGTATATCTTTTTCCCTGAATTATTATGACAAACAGTAATAACTAATTCAGTTGCCATTTTGTAGCTTGCTTTTTCTAAACAGCCATTTTTCCTTTTTATTTTTTACAAGGTGTTACATTAGGAGTAAGTATTAAGTTGTAATATAGGAGGTATTTCTACCATCAGCATAGTTGTATAGAATTTCTAGGTAACCTTGGTCAGTATTTTTATTTCCTTTGGTCATATTCCTCAATAGTTGCATGGATTATGAAAATACCATAGACACCCAGGATTATTTAAAAAGATGATTGGGTTGATTTTTCTCTCTGGATAAAATATTTGCCGCATGTATTTCTGTATAATTATAATTATGTCTGAGTCTAGAGATGTTTGTTTCATGTTCTGAAGTATAGAGGAGATGTTCAGAGCATGTCCATGACGGGGTTGTTTGCTAGCATTGAGCAAAGGTATTCCCATGATTTGAGTGACCCCTGGAGTTGGAAATGGGTAACAGGTCCAGCAAGAGATCAGCTTAGAAGATGAGGCCATGGTCTGACTCATTAGAAACAAGGTAGAGGAAATGGGTTTTGTTTCAATAAAGGAAGAGGAAAAAATGAGGAAAAGTAGACACATAGAAAGCACAGAGAACATTAACAATCATACAAAGAAGTCAGTCAGTTTGGGCATAACAAAAAGTTCTGTTTTTGTTTCAAATGTCTTGGGTGGAATTTGCACTTCTGAAGTTGTCTGCTTGATCTGAAGGTCTCTGATGAGCTGTGCCTTGAAGCCATCTGCTTCTGGAGGCTTCTTTGGTTAGCTTCAACTTGCAGTCACTCATAGGAGTGGAAGTCCATTGGTCTGAGTCGGAAGTTCATTTTCATTATGACATATTAAACCCTGTGTGGACTGTTGTAGCTATTGTCAAGAAGACCTGAAATGGCTCCTTTCAATAATGTTCTAAAGCATTTTTGCATCTGTATCACTTAGCATTTTCTGCAAAACAAAACACCCCAAAACTAGGTGGCTTAAAATAACCGTTTATTTATTCATGATTCTGTGGGTGAGCAATTTGGCTGGGCTCTACTGAGACAGCTTTGTTCTGCTCTTCATGATGTTGTCTGGCCTTACACGTGCATTGACAGTCAATTGGTAGTTGATGACCTCATTCACATGTCCGGTGGTTGCTGCCTGTTGGCAGGGCAATGGAGGTAACTGGGCCATGTGCCTCATCATCTAGCAGGCTAGCCCAAGCTCATTCACATGATGTTGGTTGAAGGTTCCTAAGAGCAGCAAGAGAGGGCAAGCTCCAGTATGCAAGCAGTTTTCAAGCCTCTACCTATGTCATGTTGTTAATACCTTGTTGGCCAAGGCAAGTCACTTGTCAAGCCCAGACTCAAAGAATAGAGGAATAGACTTCATCTCTTGATGGAAAGATATGCAAAGTCACATGCAAAGGAGCATGCATATGGGATGGGAAGAATTTGTGGCCATTTTTACAATTTAACACACACTGGTATCTTTTCTAGTGAACCTGGTCACCGAGTTAGAAGTCATATAAAGGTTTGGACGATGT